CTGGGTGAAGGAGTAAACCAGTTTCACAGCCCCGGGAGCTGGTAGTTATTTGCTGTGGTGGCAGGGCCAGTGCTCGTGCCTCGGGGTCCCCACTGCCCCCCTCTAGATTGTGGCTTCTATGCGGTGCTGCTGCTCACAGGGGCTAATTTAATCGCACGAGCTTTCGTCAGCCTATTCACTAGTGTGATTCTTTTTTTTAACTTCCCTGAATCACGTTTCTGTATTAAACCTGCTTCTGCCTTCTGATGGTACCACAGCCACCAAAAGCACAGAACATTTTAAAAAAGAGAGCCTAGCATGGCACTGGGCTACTCTCCTATCTATGAAGAGCCACTGTACTCCAGCCTGGACAACACAGCAAGACCCAGTCTCCCCCCCAAGAGAAAAGCTGTGCGCGTACGTGTGGTGCGGCCTCATCGGCATTGCCTGCCCCAGTCCTCGGAGTTCCAGAATTCCAGATTTTCTGCTGCAAAGGCCACACCTCTCAAAGCTCAAATCTTGACAGAGAGGGATTGAGAAGTATAATTTGAGACACTCCTGTAATCCTCAAACTGTTTTTTCTTCCATGGAAAAAGAGAGGATCAGGAAACTCGTTTCCAGGGCACCATGCTCAGAGCTGACGTTCTTTGTCTCAGGTTGCTGGCGCCGGGACATCTTCTCAGCCCCATCTGATACATGAAGAATTGGAGGTCACAGGAGATGAGAGCAGAGGCAGAGTTTGACCCCTGGCTTCCCACAGGCTGTGTGTCTGAGTTTGCTTTCTGATGCTTAGAGTACCTGAAACTGGGCAATTTAAAAGAAGAGGAATGTATTTCTCACAGAGGCTGAGAAAGTCTGAGGTTGAGGGCCTGCGTCTGGTGAGGGCCCTCCTGCTGGTGGGGCGCTGCTGAATCCCCAGGGGACACAGGGCAGCACATGGCCAGAGGCTGAGCCAGCTCAGGTCTCTTTTCTTCTTAGGAAGCCGCTAGTCCTCCTCCTATGATGACCCATGAGTCTATGAAAGGGAATGCGTTCTTGACTGCAGAGACCATATGACCCAATCACTTAAAGACCCCCACCTCTCAATATTGCCACATCGAGGATTAAATTTCAGAAGACAAATACTCAAACCTGACGCTGGGACATCAGCCCTTCTGAAGCGCACTCAGAGATGACGAGATGACAAGATCATGGCTCCCAGTGAAGCTGCTGGGGACCTTGGAGGACTCTCCCTCTGGCCAGTTCCCAGCAGTCCAACCCTCCATTCTCACTGATTTGCTTTTTTTTTTTTGCAGTTTTTGGCCGGGGCTGGGTTTGAACCTGCCACCTCTGGTATATGGGGCCTGTGCCCTACTCCTTGGGCCACAGTTGCCACCCTCTCTGGTTTGCATGTTGCCACCACTTCCTGGCGACTTTCTTAGTGCCCTAAAGAAAGTCCCCTGTGTGTGTGTAGTAAGGGACACTCCCAGCCCCTGAAATGTCATCCTCTCAAGCATTGTTGAGTTTGTCAGAGAACCAGTTCCAGTCTTGGCCTTTTTCCAGCAGAAAGACAACACATCATTGTCATTTTTTTCTTTCATCTGTCAAATTGTGTTTAAGACCCCAGAAGAGAAGCGTGGAAGGAGAAATCTCTCAGTAGTGAACTGGCACCACTGGAATCCTTTAGCGAGTCTGCCTTTGCTTCTGCACAGGGTCGGGGTCACGCACAGCCCAGGGTCAGTGCCCCCGTGCACAGGGGAGCTCTGGGAGCTGAGGCTCAGGGCCTTCTCAGTAGAGTGTGGTCACAGTGATCAGAGTAGCGGGTGCCTCAACCTGGGCAGGTACAGGACCAGTACCAGGAGAATGTCCCCAGCTTTGACGGTGGCACCAGAGGTCACTCAGCCGTGCAAGGCTTGAGCTGCCTCGCCTGCGAGGTCGCAGTTTGAGAGGGAGGCTCATGGAGAGGGTCTCTGCTCACCTGCACGCTCCCCTTTCCCATCTGGTCTCACCCGGGCGTGTTGGTGCCTCTGTCTTTCCTCCTGACTGCGCGAGGCCTTCCTCCTCTCTCCCTTCATCTCTCTCACTCCACCACCCACACTGCAAAGGAGGCTGGCTGCAGACTTTCTGTACAACCAAAGCATCTCTGTTGGGCTGCTTAAAAAAAAATTTATTAGCAGAAGTTACAGGCCAGCCTGGGCACCATGGCTCATGCCTGTAATCCTAGCACTTTGGGAAGCCGAGGAAGGTGGATCACCTGAGCTCAGGAGTTCCAGACGAGCCTGAGCTAGAGCAAGACCCCGTCTCTACTAAAAATAGAAAAACTAGCGGGGGGTGGGCTGGGGGCTGAGACAATACGATGCCCTGAGCCCAGCAGTTTGAGCTTGCTATGAGCTATGAGGATGTCACAGTATTCTAGCCTGGGTGACAACTGTCTTAAAAAAAATAGTTATTGGCCAAATGTAGAAAATATTCTCTTCCTAATTAAAAAAAATTATGTGAATAGACTATGTACTTTTTAAAACTTAAGACAAAGTGTTTTTGTCTTTTATCGACCTTAAAAAAGAATCTTTCAGGCTCGGCACCTGTAGCTCAAGTGGCTAAGGCGCCGGCCACATACACCAGAGCTGGCGAGTTTGAATCCAGTCCAGGCCCACCAAACAACAATGACAACTACAACCAAAAAATAGCTGGCTGTTGTGGCAGGCACCTGTAATTCCAGCTACTCGGGAGGCTGAGGCAAGAGAATCACTTAAGCCCAGGAATTGGAGGTTGCTGTGAGCTGTGCTGCCACGGCACTCTACCCAGGGCAACAGCTTGAGGCTCTGTATCAAAAAAAAATTTTTTTTCTTAAAGAGGCAAAATTATGATGATTTATTCAGGGGAGAAAGTTTGTCATCTTTGGTATAAATGAATGTTTTTAAATACAAGAAGGGAGAAAAGACCCGTAGCCTAGTCAAAACAGACAGTATATAATCCTGGCTTCCATTTTTCTTTACTTGAGTTTTGTGTGCTTTTAAAGGTTCTCTTTAGGAGTGCCCATGTTATTTTAAGAGTTTGCAACATCACTGTATAGGGTCTTTGTTTATTTAAATCTGTAAAAGGCGATGGTTGGGAGCTTGCCAGCAGCCTCATGTTTGCCCAGCCTAAGAGGCGAATTCTTAGTTTAGACCTGTAGTCAGCTTTTACTTTAAGGGGACCCCTATGTCCAAAGAATAAATACATAAAAAAATTTTAAAACCATACAAGCATAGAACTTTTAATCAAGTGCTGAAGGCTTTTCTAAGTGCTTATTTTAGAAAATACTTGTGTTTCACCCTCTCTAGTCCCAACACATAGATAGCATCTCTTGAGGATAATTTCTGATTTCAGATTTATTTTATCAGACACTCTTCTCTTTTTTTAACTTCTCCACAAAGATGCAATTATTTTGAGTCTTCCTAATCCATCATCTGATATCCTTTTTCAAAGTCAAACTTAAATAATCTGTGAGCGATATTTGTTTATGTGGATGATTTTGGGCCACATCAGCTGCTTTTCTTTTTTAAAAAGACGTTTTAGCTTAAAATTTTATTTTGTAGTTGGTATTTCCAAGTCCTTAGCAATACCCCTCTAGTGTTGAGTCTAAGCTTTTTGATCTCTGGCCCCTCTGAAAATATGAGACAACCTGAGCAATGCTCTGAACCCAACACCCATTTTCTGAGCTAACAAGACATCCTAGGTTATTCATTTTTTCCTTAGTAAAGACTGAACACTGCTCCTGGGGGTTCGAGTGAGGGGAGAGGTAAGAGATTGGCCTGTATTCCAGCTGTTTTATTTATTAAGAGAAATTATTTTTAAAAACGTAGTGGTCTAAATTTTCTTATTTTGAAAAACTGCGATTCAGATGCCTACACGGAAAAAAAAAAAAAAAAAAACCGAAGCAAAATGACACCAATTTTGTGTAGTGATAATGGATCTAGCTTTTCGAAGCCTTTGCCCTCATACAGAGTTCTGCAGAGTTCACATGTCTCAGGACTTGAAAGATGCATTATGAACTTAGCCGCTTCTATTTTTAGTAGTTTTAAAAACTATAGTTGTGAATAAAAGTTACCGGTCAGTATTCACTCTTCATGTTTAAAGAGCTTTATTTGAAAAGTTCCCTTTGTTGATTCATTTATCTAAGGGATTTGCATAACCGGTCAGTAGCACAAACTCACGAGACTGCCCCTGGGTTTTGTTAGCTCCATTTATTTCCCCAAATCATAGGTGAAAAATATTTGAGTATTGCCTCAGGATAGTAGAAAAGAAAAAGACGTTTTCTTGTTGTCTGAGGTGGACGGAAGGCGTTTGGATCTGAAGATCCGTCACAGGGTCCTCCCAGCCGGGCCAGGTTGCTTTCCATGATGACGTTTAGCAATCATTTCCTGATCAAGACTTTGCAAAGAGGCTTGTGGGGCAAGGATGTAAAGCTTTTTATGAACTAGAAGAATTTATAGTAGACTGTTGAAAGCTATTTTGTGTTAGGTCAAATTTCAGCGAGATATTGGTGTCTGTTTGCTCCTTAACTGCCCTTTTCTTCTTTAAAAGGAAAATAGCTTGACTGCCCAAGTTTTTTGTGCCTGTAGCCATGGACCTTCCTCAGTTTCCAAACCAGTGCAGTTACCAACCCTGGTTTCACCCCCACCTCCAGTAAATAGTTCTGTTACGTTTATAGGGAGGAAAATGCTTACTATGGAATTAGGCGTGCTAGTTATTTATTACTTGCAAGCATATGGGTTGCTTTTAAGACCACATTTAGAAAATAACTCCACTGTCTGCTTCTAATAGTGTTCAGTCTTTGGGTAAGTAATTAAGGCTCCATCTCTCCTCTGGCCGTAGTTTTTAGGCGGTTGTCTAGATTTAGAGAGTGTGCTAACAAGTTGGTGTTAAGAGTTAATTTGTTCCCTAACCCATCCTGTGAATATCAATGCTAACAACAGTGTCTTGTGTTTTTTTTCTTTTTTTCTTTTTTTTTTCTTTAAATCAATGTGCTTTCTTTTCCATGTGAATAATTGTATGTCTAGAAACAGCCATGGAGTGATTTTGCTGTTCTGAATGGGGGAAAGATTAATAGTGACATTTGGAAGGCAAGTATATTGTCGGATTTCAGATCGTTTAATCTTTTTCCTTTCTGCATGGCTGTGGCTGCGTATTTTTCTTCTTCACGAGCATCACGCGTTCTGCAGCGATGGAGTGATTGGCTTCTTGCTAGGGGCGTTCAGCTCACACTTGTGTTGCATTATTTTGACGTCTCCCATCGTGAATGACTTGGGGCTGATTGCCCCGGGTTCCTTGTTGTTTGTAAGACCAGGCGCTTGCACCAAGCCAGCACCCAGCAGCCCTTGCATGCTTCCTGCCCAAGCTCACATCCACTCTCTGCCTCTTGCCAGAGGACTTTTCTCCTCTCTGATATTCGAGGCAGCGTGATGGGCCCTCCCCGCCGTCGGTTAACAGGGTCTGTTTCCCTCTAGGACCTACACGCAGCCACTGTGAACCCAGACCCCAGCTTAAAGGAGTTTGAAGGAGCTACGCTGCGCTATGCATCTTTGAAGCTCAGGTAGGACGTCGGCCAGGTCCGTTTCAGCGAGTCTCTATGCAACTGGAGTGTGCGATAGGATTCTAAGTCCAGTTTTCTGTTTTTCTTTCTAGAAGTGCCCCGCATGCTGACGATGACGATTCTTGTAGTATCAACAGTGACCCAGAAGCCAAGGTTTGTGAGAAACACACTTTCAGCGACCAGGTTATAGTCTGGCATCAAAGTAAGGGCTTTGGCTGTGGCCCCGTTTTTACAAACATGAACGTAGAGCCACTCGATAAAGAATCATTCCTCCATCCTCTCTTTCCTAATCTCCCTGACATTTGAAGAAAATCCCTAAATCAAGTTAGGTTTGACGGGATTTCTATAACCGTCAAGACCCTGCCTGTATCTCACTAGGTCAGCTCTCCGCACAGAGGTAGTAGGTTAAAATTATTACTCAAATGGGTGGGCTTTGGGCATCTTTAAAGATATGCCAGGGGCGAGACCCCTCGTGCCCACCTCTTCACCACCCGTCGAGACCCCTCCTGCCCACCCGTCACCAGCACTGGGGTGAGACCCCTCGTGCCCACCTCTTCACCACCCTCACCAGCACACACGTTACAATGGAAAGTGAAGGCACACACGTTTCCGTTTTGTTTCTAGACATCTGGGGGTGGGGGTTACCAACAGGGCCTGTCATGTGGGCATGTAGCCAGTGCAGTTGCCCAGGACCTATCTGCATAGGGTTTAAGCCTACAAGGTTGCCGTCTTGAAATTCTTAAAATTTTTACCTTCAAATTTGTATTTGGTTAGTAAAGTCTAGTGGTGAAGGAGCGCGCACCAGAGGCTTTCTTTGACTTGTGCTCACCTCTGCCACCTCCCCAGGTGACTCTTGCTTGCCTGCTCCCCTGGTACCCCAGGCCCTACCACACTTTTTCATCTCTGCCTCAGTAGGGGGCAGGGCCTGAACACTAGGGGAATAGGGTCAGGCACACACCTCACGGTGTCTTGGGGTGGGATGTGGTAGTGGCCAGCCCTGCCCTGGCCTTAGACACTGCTGTGCGTTCAGCAAGCACCTCGAGGGAGGGAAGCCTTCTGCCTACCACCCCCACCCCCCGGTCCAGATACCTAGCAGGGCCCAGCACTGACTTGCAGCCCACCTGTGGCTCCCTTCCCTGCTGTGGGTTGAGGTGGTGGGCCCCAGGAACATTCCTGGCTCTGTTGCTCAGCCCCTGGCCAGTGCATGGTGCGTCTGTCTGGGAACAGCTGTGAGGGGGACCCCAGATGCTGGTGCTCTGTGTGTGCACCTCAGCTACTGTGCCTGAGTGTGTGCTCGCCCTGCAAGTGTTCCCCACGCCTGAGGGACAGTGACACTCGGTGGCAACTATCAGCGAGTCAGGAGAGTACAGAGGACGAGAGAAAGCTTGCTTTAGTGCTCTTACAGCATTTTTCCTTTCTTTTTGAACAGGAGGCCCTATATTTTTATGTTGCATATTTCATTCAGAAATTATGCCACTTATCCTCGGTACTAACCACCGTGAATGCCACCATGTCGTCTTTAAAACCCTTCCACACTCCCTCTGCCATGGAAGGGAGAATCTTCTCAGATTTATTTTATTTGTTCTGACTGGCAAAGCAGATCCTTCTACAAAGAAAATAGCAAACAGATTTCCTTTGTAGTATTCAGGGGGGAGCACGGTGTAACCTCAAAACCTTCATTCCTTTGCAGGAACTACCTTGTTCTTTAATTGTTCTTTAAGAATCTTGGAGTTCAGGCTTGGTGCCTGTAGCTCAAGTGGCTAAGGCGCCAGCCACATACATGTAAGGTGGCAGGTTCGAATCCAGCCCAGGCCTGCCAAACAACAATGATGGCTGCAACCAAAAAATAGCTGGGTGTTGTGGCAGGCGCCTGTGGTCCCAGCTACTTGGGAGGCTGAGGCAGGAGACTCGCTTGAGTCCAGGAGTTGGAGGTTGCTGTGAGCTGTGATG